AAGGGCCCCACACCACTCACCAGTGCCTTTTAAGGGCCTACTTCGGCGGCTCTGAGAGCCCCCACACCGGCGCCTCCGAGGGCCCTATGCAGCGCATCTGACGGTCACTTACCAGCGACTCTGAGGGCCTCTTACCGACCTCTGAGGGTCCCTTGCCGGCCTATGAAGGGCCACCAGTAACTTTCAGGGCCCCACACACGCCTAAGTGATGGCCCCCACCAGTGTCTCTAAGCCCCAAGGCCCTCACAACGGCGCCTGTGAGGACCCCACACCAGCGCATCTGATAGCCTTTTACCGACACCTCTGAGGGACTAACACAGGTGACTCTGAGGCGCTCGCTCGCTTCACTTCCTCATAAAATACCGTGCATTTTATGCATACTTCTCAAGCAAGAAATGATATTTTTACCTGCCAATTTTGCACATTTTCTCAGGACTTAGACAGACAGGCAGACAGACGGACAGAGAGGCCCGTCTGCAAGGGGGGACCGGACCCACTGTGCCCAATCCCCTCATCGATAGGTTCTGGAAACGCCCCTGCCTGGGTTGACAGCGGCATCCGGGTGACCCGTGGGCCCCTTTGAGAGCAGGCGGCCCCCTCCTGGGCGAAATACTGGGTATGTACTTACTGGGTACGTACGAGCGTGGGATCCTTTGAGGCTGGTGTAGAGCCTTAAGGAGCCAGCGCTCAGCCCTCTAAGGCCAGCGTGGGCCCTCTAAGGCCATTGTGGTGTCTTCTAAGGCCAATGTGGGGCCTTCTAAGGCCAGTGTGAGGCCTTGTAAGGCCAGTGTTTGCCCTCTATGTCCAGCATGGGGCCGTCTATGTCCAGCGTGGGGTAGCCCAGCGACATGGGGCTTTCTTAGGTCAGATTGAGGCCCATTGGCCACCGAGACTAGCTTGGGGCCCTCCGAAGACAATGCGGAGCCCCTTTAGGCCAGTGTTGGGCACTCTGTGACCAGCGTGAACCATCTGCGGCCAGCGTGGGGCCATCTGTCATCTGACTTCAGACTTCAGAGACTGGTGCTGGGCCCTCAGAAGCCAGCGCGGGCCTTCATAGGCTGGCGTCGGGCCATTAGAGGCCACCTCGAGGGCCTCGGCAACCACTTTTCAGATCTTATGCATGTTTGGGCCCCTTGAGGTAGGAGTGGCCCTTATAAAGGCCGGCGTGGGACCCTCAGGGGGCATCATGGGGTTCTAGGGACCGGCGTGCGTTCGAGAGCGGTATAGGGTCCTCAGACTGACTCAAAGACTCCGAAGAGCCGGCGGGGGGGGGGGTCTGAGGTCAGCCATAGCATGGGTCTACTGAGGCCATTATGGGGCCCGCAGGCCAGCGTGGTTCACTCTGTTGCCGGTGTTGGGCTTTCCGAGGCCAGAATGAGCCTTCAGATGCCGGAATGAGGCCAATATGGGCGACTTAGAGCCATCAGAGTCTAGATCAGAGCTCAACCCGAGTCGGACCCTGCTAAAGTTAAGGGTATCAGCCCTCAACCAGCGCAAGACACTAAGAGATTGACATCTGCCCTTTGAAAAATGTTACAATCGTAAAAAATTGACAAAACATTTTGTTTTTGATAATCTTTAGTGGCCCCGGCACCGACCAAAGAAAAAAAAATGTATGCCTACTGCTGAAATAAATTGTATGTAGGGGAGAGTGGGGCAAAGCGGCCACCCTAACGCTTCTCACGATGCCAACGCTTGATTTTTAAACTTGGAAAGATTCTTTCTATACCAATGTGATCCCTATTAAGTTGCCTTTTATTTCAACTGCGTTTTATTTTCAAAGGCGTTCACATATGAAAGCTATTGACAAAACTTTAAACCTATGCATATTGGCCACTTTGCCCCATACCCTGGGGCAAAGCGGCCACCGGCGTCTTCTCAAGTCCCGACATGGGAAACAAAATAGTTGCCTCGTGTACCACTAGGGTATTTGATGGTGACAAGGTTAAAGGGACTATCCCACCTTCTAAAATGTTGTTAAAACCAGTTAAATTGTACCCGACTTTATAGATTGGATGACCAGGAACACGGTTCTGGCATTTATTTTTCATTAAACATCTTAGGCTTCCCATATTCCAAACACAAACTTTCAAATATGTGACGTCACAGCCCAAAATTACCTCCTTCCCCAGGCCACATTACTGTCATAAAGCTGATTCTTTTTACTCTGTAGGCACCACAACAAAGTTCAGACCAAGTTTTAAGCGATTTTTCAACGAACAACCCCATTTAAATCAGAATGACTAAACGAGGTGACGTCACACTAACGGTCGCTCCATGTTGAAGATAGGGCCTTGTACAAGGCCCATTTTCAAATGAAGGGAACGAATTTCTTCAACACCAAGAGGCCGCGGGGTTTGCAACCTAGATAGATAGTGGTTTCTGAACCTCGCCGCAAACTTGGCTATCTCAACTCAAACCCCATGTTAAAGGTGGGATAGTCCCTTTAAGCGAGGATGGATGTTTACTTTATCATTTTCCACCTGTAGGTAAACAAAGAAAGGATTTTCATGGAAAAAAAACATTTAATTGCATTATTTGGTAACTCATGCAACTGCAAAGTGGCCAAGATGAATGCATGGCGACGCATTTGAATATAAATAATGCTTTTTATCCAGATGGAAACAACTTATGGCCAATTGGGGGGTGGCCACTTTGCCCCGGCCACTTTGCCCCGCGCATACCGTCCGAGACAAAAATATTTCAGCGTAGTTATTAGTATGGTTAAAAACATTAAAATTGGTAGAATACATGTACGATAACCATGCAATGCATGGGCAAGAACGCTTATAAAAATTCCAAGCGGTTATGGAATAACATAACATTTAAAAATTGTAAACATAGTTGGTAACCTGGCAAGAAATGCTTTTCCGTGTTTCACAGAACAATGGTGATGGGCCTGAAACCCCGGTCTGGCTCATTCGAACGACCGTGAAGAGAAGTATAATTGGAAACCTTAAATTGGAACTGACGCCAGCTATGAAGGGCTAAAACGATGGGTGGCCGCTTTGCCCCGGGTGGCCGCTTTGCCCCACTCTCCCCTACCTACACTTCATACAGAGCTATCGATGTCGATGGCTTTTTCATGTTTTTCTTTTCTTTTTTAGATTGCCGAGTGTGATTAAAAAGGCTCCCTCACATGGTAAAAGTGACACAGAACCGCACCTGGGCGTGGGTTAAGTGCGTCACTACTGGGGCCCCTAAGGTAAGGGTGGGGCCCCTTGAGCAGGTTTGGCCTCCCCCTTTTCAAGATCCTGGATACGCCACTGAGTGTGTCTCTTAGCAGCTATCAGTCAGGGTTGCACTAATTGCTTTTATGCCTGCTTTGTCATATTATCAGAGAGCATCATCGATTATAACAGTGAAATAAATTCATAACATTAAGATATTTGCTGTAAAAGAAATTAGGTGCCGATTTGGTCAAATCAGGTGCACTCGCCGGATAGCCCGTCGTGAAAACGGCTAATATCGTTCATATACCTACCCCTATAGGGGTAGGTATAAGAAGTCGCCTTCTGGCCAACGCAAGTAGATGACTTTTTAGAACTAAAACGGCAGGTCCAGTAGCACTGAACGCTATTCGATGTCTGCCGCTCAGGAATTTCCAAGATCATCGCTGTCGGAATGGACCCGTTGGTGAGATACCTACACGTTTACCGCGGGGGTGAGCTGGCTGTTATTATATCCCGTAAACAGCCCTTGTTCGTAGTAAGGTCTGGTGGCGTGTCCACGGGTCTGGGACTGGTCTTAGGGAAGACAAACAATGGTGTTGGTGGACCAATGGCGGATCAAGGACCTCGGACCATTTTGTGACCTCAGTATCTATTTGTTCTGGTGAGTGGCGACATATCGTGAGGCCAAACTCCAATCCCGATGGACACTGGACAGGGGAGGGCCCATTGAGTGCACCGGTCCCGACCAATGTTTGAGCAATAAGCGAGCACGGAGCATGCCAATTTAGTCGTCAATATCAACGAGAACCCGTTAGTGGTAAACGTGCGCGATATGTTGTTGATCACCAACGTCCGGCCGTCCAGTACCGAACGGTGTGGTAGGCGATCGATTCCGAATCCGATCCGAGCGAAAATATCCAAATAGGCCATCACCCTACACGCGTTTAGTTTCACCCCAGGCTGGCTAAAGTCGCTGTCTGCGATGACCTATGACCTAACGTTACTGGATGGGTTCTCGGTACGGGTGATAGCCTTCTCATAAAACAGACATATTTCGTTATAATCTCGTAATGCCAAATCGAAAATCACATCAAATCATGCCATCAATCGCACACTCAAATACAAACACTGTGTACTCTCCAGCTGACAGGTGCACGGTCTCAGGCTGGTGCCCGGGCCATCTGAGTTGCCCGGCCGACCGGTATCCAGGTCATGGGATCACGGAAAGGGGGCACGGGCCGGGGTCACGAGAAGGGTACATGCTGGCCGCGGGGTCACGGGAAGGGCCGGTGAACTGGCCGGGGTCACGGGGTGAACTGGCCGGTTACTGTAGTGTGTTTGGAAGTGTCGTGAGACGGTGCATTGTTAGTGGATGCAGACACAGGTCCGATGACAATCATGGTCTGGTTTGGTCCAGGGTACGATTCCGTCCAATACTCCGAGCAGTGCAGTGGTTCGTGTTAAGAGCCAGGGCATCTTCTAGACTCCGTGGGATGGCATGGTGTGCTCCAGTGAAATGTTTGTTCGCGGTACGGAACTATCCAGGGGTGCAGTTTCTCAGAGCTGATGGCTGCCAGCTCCAGCGGTATATCGGTGTCAATGTAACAGTGAGTTGTGCACGTGCGGGTGTCGATGTCAGCATCGTCCATGTCAGTGGTGCTATGTGTCGGTGTGTCCCTGTGTCGTGTGCCGAAGTGCCGGTGTCAGTGTGTCAATGTGTCGTGTCGGTGTGTCGGTGTGCCGATGTGTCGGCGCAGTCTCGTGGCCAGTGTCAGTAGTGCTGCTGAGGAGCAGAGCCGGAGCGACCCGGCTCACGTGGCAACTCACCAGCGACGGGCGGAGGCGTGGGCGGGCGGGCGGCGGCTCCACTAGAGAAGGTCGTCGGCGACGGCGACGGCGACGGCGGCGGCCGGGCGCGACACCAGCGCCCCTACCGGCAGGCCGGCGCCCCAGCAGAGATGACGTCACGTCACCATGGGGACGGACGCCTCCGTCCTGACGACGGGTCACCGGAGCTGCCGGCGGCACACGCGACCCGTGTGTCAATACTCAATACACACTGAACACACAAACGCATTGTGGTCGGCCGAGTGATTGATGACAGCCTGTAGAAAGTCAACTGTTCTAGCAACAGTAGAAGCAGCCTGCAGTCTGCACGCTGTAGCACGAGGAATTACAAGATAAGTATAGCAGTCCGCGGCAGTCACGCGGCTACTCTGCTCAGAGTACATTCCGAAAGTCAAACGAGACTGCGATTGCCGACGATCGACAGTCACATAGGCGTAGGAACAGGGGGGGCCAGGTGGGCAAGTGCCCACCCACTTTTCGAGGTGGGGGGGCCAACCATGTGTTCTGGCCCACCCACTTTTTACTCGAGGCCCCTCGTCTCGATTTGAGAGGACGTCGTCACCTTCCAGAATAAACAAACTCGGTAAAAATAAGTTCCACGAATCCCCACGCACGGACTCCAAGGGGCCGTGATGGATTCAACGAGGCCCTCTGTTCATCTTGTCAGTCGAAGCCCCTGAGACTGATGGCCTGAGAGGCCCTAGTGGATCTGAGGAGGCCCTAATATACACACTGGTCTGGGGAGGCCCCCGACACTGGCGGTCTGGGAGGCCCCTCTATCCACACTAGTCAGACGTCTGAGACTGGTGGTGCTGGGAGGCCCCTCCATCCACACTAGTCAGAATAGGCCCCTGACACTGGCGATCTAGCCGAGGCCCCCTACCCTCACTAGTCAGAGGAGGCCCCTCTATCCTCAATAGTCAGAAGAGGCCCCTGAGACTGATGGTCTAAGAGGCCTATCCATCTACACTGTAGTCAGAGGAGGCCCCTGAGACTGATGACCTGAGAGGCCCTTATAATCACACCAGGCAGAAGAGGCCCATGAGACTGATGGACTGAGAGGCCCTTCTATTCATACTGGCCACAGGAGACCCCCAAAACTTTCGGTCTGGGAGGTCCTCAATCCGGCACCAGTCAGAAGAGTCCCCCATGAGACTGATGGCCTGGGAAGCCCTTATATTCACACTAGGCAGAGGAGGCCCCTGAGATTGATGGTATGAGAGGCCCTCATATTCACACCAGTCAGAAGAGGCCCCCGAGGCTGATGGCTGTGAGGCCCTTCTGTTCATATAACTGGCCACTGGAGGCCCCTGAAACCGGTGGTCTGGGAGGGCCCTCTATCCAAACTAGTCAGAAGAGGCTCCTGAGACCGATGGTGTGAGAGGCTCTTATATTCATACTGGCTACAAGAGGCCCCTGAGACTGATAGTCAGAGAGGTCCACTCCTAATGAATCTGAGGGGGGCCTTCTATCCACATTTACACTTTTCTAGGGAGGCCCCCGAGACTGATGGTCTGAGAGGCCCTTTTATTTATACTGTCCACAGGAGCCCCCTGATATAAATGGTCTGAGAGGCTCTTTTATTTATACTAACCAGAAAAGGCCCCTAGGTAGGATTGATGGTCTAACAGGCCCTTCTATCTATACTAGCCAGAGGAGGCCCATGAGACTGATTGTCTGAGAGGCCCTTCTATTCAAACTAGGCAGATGAGGCCCCTGAGAATGATAGTCCGAAGAGCCATGCGGCGGCAACTGGCCGTGGCCATATTTCGGTCCGGTGGGGCCCCACAGAGCTCATGAGAGCACCTCAAGGGCTCCTAAGTAGACACGCTTATCCCCATAAGGGTGCCACGCCGGCTTCTGAAGGCTCCTTGCAGGCATCTAAGGGCCCTTTCCGGCCTCTAACGGCTCCACCCGCCTGTGATGGCTCCACACCAGTGTTTATGAGCGTCACACAGCGGCGCCTTTGAGGGTCATACTAGTGTCTCTTAGGGCCCTATATCGGTGGCTCTGGGGTCCCCACACCGGCGCCTCTGTGGGCCACCACACCTGCGCATCTCAAGGCTCTATAGGTACATCTGAAGGACCCACACCGACACCTCGGAGGGCCCCATACCAGTATCTCGGAGCTCTGAAGGCCCCACACCGGTGACTCTGAGGACTCACCGGCTCCTGAGAGCACCATGTTGATGTCTAACGGCTCCACAAGGCCACTGAAGGCACCACACAAGTTCTCACTGAGCTCTAATGTCCATGTACCGGTCTCTGAGGGATTTAAGCCAGCGCATTCATAGCTCCACACCAGCAATTGTAAGGGCTTCACACTGAAGTATCTGAGGGTTCCACACCGGTGTCTCTAAGGGCCACATACCGGCATCTCTGAGGGCCCCATACCGGCGTCTCCGAGGGTCCACATCTGGCGGGCACCCATCAGCGACTGAAGGTCCCACACTGTCGACTCCGAGAGCCCCATCTGCGTCTGGGAGCAACATGCCGTCTCTAAGAACCACAGCGGCTCCTCCGTACGAAAGATGGGCGTCTGCATGCCAAAGGGGAGCGGTTCTGAGACAGTAGGGCACCTACGTGCAATATCTAGAGGGGCGCCTATGAAGCTCATAGGGGCACCTCAATGCGCAAGAGGGGCGCCTCTGAGGCCTACATAATATATGGGCGTCCACATGCAATAGAGGTCTGCATTGATCAATGCCATGGGGGTGCATTCATAAGAAACATGGGCGCCGGCATGGCAAAGAGAGGCGCCTTCAAGTGTCCATAAAAGAGAGACGCCTATGATAAGCGCACATTGTATGCGACAACGGGGCGACTGTGGGACACATAGGATGTCTCTGATGACTATACATAGGGCGCTTATATGCCAAAGAGGGCGCCTATGAAGCTAATGGGGGCACCTGGGAAACGAGGAAGACATTTGTGTAAGGGTTTTCAGGGGTCATGCGCCGTTTGCGGCAAATAGATTCTAAAAAAAAAAAATCGGAGGGGGAATAAGTTTTAAAAATGGTGCGGACTTTCCGCACTGTTCGCTTAAGCGGTTACGCCCCTGGGTACATCTGCCCGAGCCCCGATCTCAGAAGCTAGATTTGGAGGTCATACTTGAAAGCAGCCAGCAGGACGAGGCAAAAGTTGGAGGCCCCTGAAAATAGGAGGCCCCTGAAAAAGGAGGCCCCTTGACAGGGTGGCCCACCCACTTTTCATGACGTTCCTACGCCCGTGGACAGTCAGACGAGGCTGCGACGGCCGACGTCCGTAAGTATTGGAAAACAAACAGATGTGGTTACGAGCGAGCGAGCGCAGCGAGCGAAGCGAAGTCTTTTTACGAGCGAGCGAGCGCAGCGAGCGAAGCGAAGTCTTTTCAATATAACGGAAAAATCTTAGTATGAGCGGCCCGGCCCGGCCCGGCCTGTAACGCTTTTGCGAGGCTTATATCTCAGCAACCGCTGGACCGAATGGCCTGCGGTCTTTTTTGCTGGGTAGCCCCATCCCTTCTACCCCGTAATTGACTATTGTTGATACATCTCAGTGACCGCCGTGGCACGTGCCACGTGAAAAGTCAAGGGTGTTCAAGCAGTTTTGCAAAAGTAATTATTTTGAGAGGCCCATATCTCAGCAGCGGCTTGAGCGATTGTCTTGCGGTCATTTTTATAGGGTAGCTGCATCCCTTCTACCAAAGGTCGGATACTCTTCATCTATGTGAGTGACCCCCACTGCACGTGCAAAATACAACAATAAGAGGTGCCAAATTTGTTCCCATTTCAGTAACTCGGTAATTACTGGGGCGATTTCGCTGAAACTTGGCATACAGGTAGGCACCCACCAGGCAATGCATTCCCATGTGTTCCGGTTAGGGTGCTACTGCGCGTGCGCACGTGCAGAATGCCGTTTCCAGATCTCAGGAATTATCCAGATCATTATCCCTTCCCTTCTACCTCCTACACATTAGATTAAACAACTGTAGGGGTTTTTTCCCTGCGCTCTTTGGCTTCAGCGCGGGGTTTTCCCCTTTGCAATAGGCGTCAGGTTTTTTGTTATTTAGGACTTTTTCCCTGACAATACACCCCACACCAGTACACTGACACCTTAAACAAGTGTATGAATATGTGATGTAAATAAATGTTACCGTTTCTTTATCTGTGTTTTTTGTTCCGGCTTTTTCGGCACTTCGGCAAAAGTAAGTTCCCCATTAGATTTGCTCATACACGCTAAGGATAGGCTCCCACGTTGCTATTGCTTCCGGGTTCACATAAACCGGCTTAACGTAAAACTTTGTTCCTGGCCAAAATTGCCAGATGTAATGACCCCCGGCTCCAGACTGGCTTTAGGCTGGCGGAGCAAAAAAAAAAAACAAAAAAAAAAGATCTCAGGAACGGCTGGGCCGATTGCGTTCAAATTTGGTACACCGCTAACGACCGGTTAGAAGGGTGCTTTGCACAAGCCCGTTGGAAGTACCCTCTCGCCCTTCTGCACGTGCAGGGCTCACTATCTCGCTCGCTCGTTCTTCGCCCAAAAGGCGTTTTACTGGTCAATATCAAGGCTATAGAACTCCAGGTAAGGACACCAGCCGTTTGACCTTGAACGCCGCTGGCCGGCCGATGACGTCATTGGAGGCAAGCCGGCTCGGCGGACGCATCGAACGAGCGTATAACGGAGGAGCGTTGGGACGTTGCGGGAGCTGGGGAGAGATTTTAAAGCGTTTGCATACCACCATTGTTATGTTGATTGATCTAGACTGCATTCTTATAAAGCTCGACGCATCTTAGGCCTGGATGGTGCGTACATTCGTAGAACGGTCCGACGTCCGTGGTCGAAGCTGTCTACTCTAAATGTACCAAAAGACGCCAAGACCGGTGCAATAACGGCGACCCGATCCCGTCCCTGGCGATTCTAGGACTCGTTAGGACCCAGGCCGAGTCTGACCCGTCTATTTTTAGGGAAACGGGGTGGGTGAATTGACAACCGAATACCGATGGTTAGAATTGATCCCGTCGTAGAGCGATGGTTGATTGACAGACAACACATGTTGTAGTGGGCGGATAAGCATCAGGGATAATGCCTGAACGTAGGCAAGCATAATTGGTGTGCCATATTGTTTAGGAATATAAAATCGTAACGGAGGTCCTTGAGGATATTATCGCTACATTACGAGGATTCACCACCAGTGAAATTACTACTGTTAAGGCCTGGCTACACTATGCGTTTTCTTCGTGCGTTTTTTGCCTGTTTGCGTGTTTTGCGTGATATCGTTCTAGAAAAAGGAACGATATTACGTTTTTGTGATGTTTTTCACCTTAAATTTTAGTTACATAAGAGTTATATTAGCTTTTGTATATAACCAAAGTAAAAACTATATTGTTTATAACTTTTTTCCTAGAACGATATTACGCAAAACACGCAAACCTGCAAAAACGCACGCAGAAAACGCATAGTGTAGCCAGGCCTTTAAACCCTCGGTCCCGGGCAACTCCGGGGAGCTGCAGTATCCGGCGGCCACCTCGTCGACTTGCAGGTCCTGTGGGCTTCCGTGATGCTTCAGTGCTTCACCCAGAGGCACGGATAGAGCAGTAGGATGTGGGGTGAGGTGTCTGTACGCCTCTTCATTGAAGGTACGACGCATACAGCGCCCAGTCCCGCCGAAGCTCGATAATCGACCGTGACATATTCTTAACTGGCGGATCCAGGAAGCGGTCTTGAACACATCGCGGGGCATATACCCTAAAAAGGTTTCTGGGATTAAAAAAAAAAAAAACATCGGATTTCGATTCCTTGCGCACTACTGTGCAGTCCGATCAATAAACTTTTCCTCATAAAAGTTGTGTTTTCGTTTTATTCTCGAAAAACGATTTCGGACGCTGCACCGGATGTGGGCCTGTGGGGGATAACATTTGTCCCAAATGCCTTCCCTTGCAATCGCCAGCGCGGGCTGCCCCACCCTGAGCTTAACTAAAAACGTCTTAAAATCCCACCAGAGAGCCGAATCCGATAACTCATCTCTGGCCCGTCTAAATTACTACGCAGTACGCACCGTACGGCGCCCGGCCCGTCGGAGCACTGAACCGACCGTGATATTTTTGGTTTTCCCCCATCCCAAGCTCCATTAGAAACGTTCTCTCTCCCCATCCAATTGCTCATGATGTCATTTCAAGTTCAATACCTACCTCATCTCTGTCTGCCCGCCCATTCATTGCACACCTTACGGCGCCCGGCCCCGCCAGAAGGATCCTAGCGCGCTGAGTGGTTGCCTCCAGCCGCGTCATCGCGAGGCCCCGCGGGGCCCGCAAATGAATACATTGCGTGAATAGCCGTGTCACCCCCCTGGTCAATATAACGGAAAAATCTCAGTATGAGCGGCCCGGCCCGGCCCGGCCCGGCCTGTAACGCTTTTGAGAGGCTTATATCTCAGCAACCGCTGGACCGAATGGCCTGCGGTCTTTTTTTCTAGGTAGCCCCATCCCTTCTACCCCGTAATTGACTACTTTTGATACATCTCAGTGACCGCCGTGGCACGTGCCACGTGAAAAGTCAAGGGTGTTCAAGCAGTTTTGCAAAAGTAATTATTTTGAGAGGCCCATATCTCAGCAGCGGCTTGAGCGATTGTCTTGCGGTCATTTTTATAGGGTAGCTGCATCCCTTCTACCAAAGGTCGGATACTCTTCATCTATGTGAGTGACCCCCACTGCACGTGCAAAATACAACAATAAGAGGTGCCAAATTTGTTCCCATTTCAGTAACTCGGTAATTACTGGGGCGATTTCGCTGAAACTTGGCATACAGGTAGGCACCCACCAGGCAATGCATTCCCATGTGTTGCGGTTAGGGTGCTACTGCACGTGCGCACGTGCAGGGGGCGTTTCCAGATCTCGAGAACGGCTGGGCCGATTGCGCTCAAATTTGGTACACGGTTGGGGACCGGTTAGTAGGGTGCCGTGCAAAAGTCATTTTGGACCCCGTTTGCACGTGCGCACGTGCAGAATGCCGCTTCCAGATCTCAGGAACGGCTGGGCTGATTGCGTTCAAATTTGGTACACCGCTGGCGACCGGTTAGAAGGGTGCTTTGCACAAGCCCGTTGGAAGTACCCTCTCGCCCTTCCGCACGTGCAGGGCACACTATCTCGCTCGCTCGTTCTTCGCCCAAAAGGCGTTTTACTGGTTTAACCCTCGCCCGCACATGGGGGGGGGGGTTGCCACCCCCCCCCCCCCAGGTAGTCTTTCTGCTCTGCACTCAACATTTTTAGAGCTAGAAGGCTGATTTTTCGTATAGCTGCTCTTCTATCCTTTCTTGATGTCCACTGAAAATTTCAAGTTTCTGTGACCTTTGGTTTCGGAGATATGACCTTGTTTTTCAGGTCATGTCATGACCCAAATGGCCAATTCTCGACATCTTGCGTTGGCTATGGGCCTTGTGAGCTTTTGACACCTTGATTTCGGCCTTTTTTACCAGTCTTACCTCCCACCCATCATGGAACATGTTGTTCGACGATGTACAGATGTCAAGGTCAAGGTCAAGGTCAACCTAGGTCATCTAAGATAATTGCGTTTTAGGCAAGCGGAATTTACTTTTTGTGAAGTTTTTTGACTGCATTTTTGGTAAAAGTTTCTCAGATCATGATTTCATGTAATATGGACACATAAACAATCGGTGCACACATCAGTATACACACAGACACACACAGACATACAAACACATATAATTGACCTTGACCTAACTTGACCTGAAATGACCTCAGCAGCAAAAACCTGGTCGGGTAGTGTGAGAAAGAGGTTCTAGCTGGCCTGGCACCAGAAAACAGCATCGTTATCGGTATATGATAAGCAGCGCACTTGATATCCAACGGTGACCCAAAACAGCAACATTTTTTAGTTTGACCTGACCTGGAAGGTCAATGACTGACCTGAGAAGGTAAAACTGGGTATCATTGGATTCGTCTCTTCCCAAAGAATCTTTTTGGTCTTTACCGCTAAGCTCTATCTCCAACAGGAACGAAATGGCGCGGGGGGGTGGCAACCACCCCCCCCCCCCATGTGCGTTCTAGGATGGGAAAATGGCATGTGCGGGCGAGGGTTAATAGTTAATACTAGTGATGTCAATTACGGAAAATCGGAATACCGATACCAAACCAAATACCAACCGAAACCACGGGAAAATACCGAAACCAAACCAACTTGGGAAAATGAGGGAAATACCAACTTTTTACCGATTTCTTAGCATCTTATACATTAGTGAGGGTTTATGATACCAACAAAATACCAAAAACATTAGGATTGAATTACCAAATACCAAGTTGGTAATGGTTTGGTATCGGTATACCAAAAAGTTGGTATCCGATTGACATCTCTAGTTAATACCTAAGCCAGTTAGGCATCCGGCTGCTCCTGACATACTCCATACCATCCATGTCCATACCATCAAAGTCAAGACTTAGATATCAATGACCTGTTGCTGAGAGTCTGGCCCCAGCAGTGTTTGACAGGCTTGTGACACAATGGGTCTCAGGTGCCGGCAGTCGCCATGACTCGGCAGTTTTCCTTGGAACGGTGCCCCCAGTTCCTGCACGATGGGTACGGAAACGCGGCGGCCGGCTAATGCTAAATAAAAGCCCGGTCCCGATCCAACAATACAACCTAAAGCTACCCTTGACTTGTTGCATATGAGTCCCCACACAGATAAGAAGTACCACACCGTTTTTGGGCCCATGTGACGGTCTAAAATGTTCCGTTCGTTCGATAAATTAAAAAACCTCATCTGCCCCCGAGAGCAGTCCTAGTTTGAAAGTATTAGTGCACTTATTCGAGAACGTCCTAAATGACATCACATCAGTGTGCTATGCTGGTCTTCAGAGAGTCAGCTTGTTTTTAGAGCATTGAGTCAGTCAGCTGTCAGATGTCGAAACAAAAGGACCAATCAATTTATTGGCTTGAGAGCTGACAATGTCCGAAAGGATTTTCTAGCGATGTAGCTTGGTTCAATTAAAAAAGACAGGGCCCAAGTCGATAACAAAGAGAGCCTGAATTCACTCGGAATGATGAAAAAGTTTAGTCTAGCCTTAGCCAATGCTGATATGCAAAGGACTGATTATAACGTGGCAAAATAATCCTGGAAATAACCGCCCAGGTGATCAGCCTCAGTACCGAAACATGGCCTTTTTAGGCCTATACCTATTCTGCTGCTTTTTACACAATTCATAACGATAAAGAGTTTATCTATTTCAAACAACCTGCGGATATTTGTCATTTGAACCGCTAATTTGTGCATGGAGAATAGTCTGGCTAAGCAGTAAGCGGTGCAGTTTGTGCTATGTGCTCTATTCATGTAACTAGAATTTCATTTCATCACGCTAGCTATGTGTCATGAAGCTGTCGCTCGTAAAGAATGCATGAGGTTTTGTCGTGTTGGTTGGCTGCATGAGACAAAAACTTTTTCCTTGTCAAGCTCTCTCCTGCCGCACCGTCGCGTCCGAATCCGAAACTGGTGACGCCTGGTGAAACGAAACTGGTGATGATGGAAGACGCCCCCCTCGCCTTCCATCATCGCCGACTGCAGTTCTTTCAAGCACTTTAGCAATATTTACACTGTGTAATGCGTCTGGAACTGGACATCTGAGCGTAGAGCAGTGTAACTTACGATGACAAATTATGCTGCCATCTATCTTATCCCTACATAAACATAACCCATACACTAAAATATACAGCACTTCCCACTGTGCAATCGTTATGCACCGGATATACATCCAGGGTGTCACGCAAAACCGGCTGCAAGGCCAGGCCGACAGAAATATCCCCATTGCCATATAGCTCAGCTAATTGTTTTGAATAAAATATCCAAACCAAAAATAAACATGCTTTGTTTCATCTAAAACTGTGTTTTTTCCTACATCTTTATGAAATGAAACACACGGCGTTCGAGCTACCCGCGGCACGTGCGCCTGCCACGTGTCACCTGTGCCATCTTCGGACCGGATCTAACCAGTTCCATCCGGCTCGTCTGCCGCCGCCGACGGTCGGCTGGCTGGGAGAGGGGGTGCGGGGGTCTGTCCTCCCCTCTCCTCCCGCCCCCGAGACCTGGCAGCTGCGCTCCGACCCGACCCCGGTCGGCGGTCACGCATGGCCACGCCCAGGGCTATGCCACGCCCCTCTCCTGAATAGGAACTCACCGGCGATAACACGGCGATGCTAAACCGAAGAGGAGTGACGCGTCACACTCCCGTCGCGTCACACGCGGCCGTAACACCGGCCGAGTAACGCCGGCTGCGGGAACACGTTACGCCGCACATAGATCGATCACACTGCGCGCGCCGCCGCCGCCGCCGCGCCGACGGGCGGGGAGGGGGAGGGAGGAGGGAGGGGAGGCGGTGGCATTTCTCCGTCCGACGAGAAAAAATAGACGGATCTCCTACCGTGCCGTCATTCGTTCCTTTTAATACTAACTCACCGCAGTGTGTATTTCAAGTACTGTGTTCGCTACAGCTACGAACCTGCCGTCTAAACTATTGTCAACACGTAGTATGCCTGTAATGGCACAATGTTGTCTTTGTTTGTAAGTTAAGAAGTTTTCATTTAATGTCAGGTCACCAGAGGTCATCAAAGATCATATTTTGCCTTTTTTACAAATCGGCACGTAGCCTGGGAACAAATAAAGTTACGGTGCCGCAGAAAAGCACATTCAATAGGCATTTTATCGTTCTTCAGTATTCTGCCTCAGAGTTTACGGCTAAGATCAATGGCTCAGCATTCAAGGGGCAATTCCTAAATTTGACATTTTTACGGAAAATGCTGTTTTGCAATAATTTTGACTCAAAATTTTAACTATATCGATTTTATCGGAATCGTGTTCCTCTCATCGAGACGTGTTAAATGAACTAAAATTTGATCTTAATGGTTATTTTGAAAATTTCACCTAAGGTCAAGGTCATGACCTGACCGAAAAGGTCACCAGCCGATTCGTATAATTGAGCTGAACACATCCGATGAGTTTTCATCGCTCTAGCATTATCTAGCATGTCCCTATCAAAAGTATTGAAATAAAACTGTTAGACGCCTTTCATGACCTCAGATGACCTCAGGGGCATAAAGGGTCATTACAGGTGCAACTTTCCGATTCTGTGTGCTGGATACGGTTCGCCACGCTCAGCTGGCTCCAACTGTGCGGCTGAATCGGAAAAGGGCTGAACCAGCCTTTCCAGTCTCTCCACCGACCCTGCCTTCCGCTGCTGGCTACAGATGGCGCTGGTGCAGCCGCTAGCCACTGACGCTGGCGCACAGTGCTGATAGAACACGGCAGAGCACTGTCAGAGGACGCGGTGATGGAGTCAGGTGGCGCTGTTAGCCAACCGCCACCCAGCCAGACGATGACAACCTGGCTATTGAGACCATCCATTGGAGTCAGTGGCGGATCCAGGATTTTCACTGGGGAGGGGCTGCAGGTCATAATTGGGCGCCACGCCCCGGATGGGCGCCATAGTCGCATCGTATTGGCGCTGAAATATTGGCGCCCAGTGGCCCTGACAAGAGGCGCCCAGGATCAGTATGTCAAGTGACACCACACGATTGGAAATATCGGTGCGGAGCGTACTGAAACGACGTTATTCGACTGATTTTTGCATCCTAGTCCTAGTATGCGGCACTCCGATGAGTTGCGAATTGAAAATTGGCGCCACTGCGCCTTCGGCGCAGTGGCGCCAGTTTTCCTTGGGTGGGGGCTGCCAGCCCCCATAGCCCCCCCTGGATCCGCCACTGATTGGAGTAAAGTAGATTGAGGAGGCTCAGGCTCAGCTCAGAAAAGACTGGGTCAGGTCAGGTCAGGTGAGGGATGTGGGAGCCGATGAAACGTGAGCCTAGCATTGCTAAATGCACGCGTCGTGATCGACGCTTTTGCCGGTCATGGCCAGGCTCTGAGGTCAACATCAGGACTGCGGTCAAAGGGTGCCATGAGCGATCCTTTGAGGAGGGGAAATGGATCATGGATGTGGGTGGCGCCCTGGATGTGCCTTTTCCTCAGTTCCACAAAAATATCCGGCTAGGAATTACGGTACCTACCAAAATATCTCAAGTGAAAATATAAGGGTTGAATATGCAGAGAAATGCATATATCTATGCGTTCAATAAACTATATTTTATTCACTATTGGTCTTGTCCTTTTCTATTGTGCCTTCTTCAGTTCTACTAAACATTTCCGATGGATTTCATCAGCTCACTGAAACGGCCTGGTATGTAGTGTACTGGCATCCGTTCAAATGCCGTATCGTCTGCGCTCGTGACACTGGAGCTGGGTGGTCTGGCCCTGCTCCTCTATCCGACCCCCCAGACCCCCCAGACCCCCTCCGACAGGATCCGGCAGCGGCGGATCACCGCTATCGCTGTCGGCAGGATCTGACCGGTCGGTTCTGAGACCAGCATCAGGGCGGATATCCGAGCCCCAGTCAGCAGAAATGGGACCCCAACAGACCCTTCATTCAGAGTCGGTCCTGGGGGCGGGCCCCTGTTAACCAGAGTCGAGCGTGCGCGGGATGTTTCCATTGCAAAAGGAGACGGCAGACGCGTGTAGGATCTCATGACATTCTTTATTTTCCTATTGCATCGTATGGCAGTAATTATTGCCTAAATGAATTAAATGGGCGTAACGCATGACTGATTAGATGTAAAATTCAGTGCAAATGAAATGAATTTGATGCATGACGTCGAGTGTAGCTAGGTAGATGATAGTGAAGACCAAATGTAAATGGAAAATAAAGGCTTACGTAAGGACTCATGGAAGCAATGAAAGCTGCATAAATTCGATGTTTTCTTCCTCGTGAAACCATCATTAATGGTTCAACAAGTCAACGTACAAACAAATAAATGAGGTCTTTTGCATGTAAAACTCCTCCCGTTTGGTGTGTCATACAATCGGACCACCATGCCCTCCCCACACTCACACTCTTCTAACCCGGTTCCAAAGTCACAAAACGATAAGCGGTTAGCATCTTTTAAAAAGCCGTAAAAAGCCGTTAAAATTATCTTTGTCGGCGACGCCTGTCGCCTTTGACCACATCGCAGTCCTACTATCCAGTGCACAGCTGCACTTGGTGGTAACTCTCCTTCCCCGCACATCGAGTGCTACGTCCGGTGACGGTCGATCGCGCTAGACGGTCGAGGGATGGGAGAGAGGGGGAAGGGCGGCCGCACTAGCACGTTCGGTCTGAAGTCTGCAACGCTATCGACAGATAAGGTGCCCCTCCCCTCCGTGGAGGGCTGGGGACGGGGGGCACTCCGAGTGACGTCATTGACCGCGATAGCCCGACGTAGCCCTGTCCCGTTCTGGTTGAAGCGAAATTATGGCTAAGGGGCGAAGTTCATCAGGGGAAAGGTCAGGAGTTAGGACCTTTCATATCTTTTTCGCAGTTTTATGAGTGCTTGCGAACTTGTTTTATTTTAACCCTCGCCGGACCTATTGGTTTTCTACATACGCGCCGGCCGAGGGGGGGGGGGGGGGTGGGGGGGGGTGGGGGGTGGGTGGGTACGACCCCCCTCGCCGTTTCGCCCCTGGTGGAGCTAGCGCGTCGCGGAAAAAACGAGCGTGTGCGCCGTTACAAGACGCAGCGATTGGTACCCATTTTAAGGTCCTAGGTCAACCGGTGACCTCTGAGGTCAGGTCAAGTGACCCAAGGTACGGTTCAGTTTTTGGTGAATAACTTCGCAAAAAATGGCCGCAGAGCCGCGATTTTGGCAGCATCGTGTTCGTCTCGCTCAGGCGCGTCGAATGATATACTTTTTGTTTGGGTCAGGTCAACTTGGGGTGTTGACCTCAGGTCAAGGTCAGGTCAGCACCCCCAGGTCACGAAGCTGGTCAAAAGAGGTCATGTCGCATATCATTCGATTTGGCAGGTCTTCCTGAGTCCATTGGTGGCTTTCCCGACTCGCTAGCTCAATTTGATCAAGAGTTATTGACGAAAAACCAATATGACCTTGATGACGTCATACATGACGTCACGCAAGGTCAACATTGTAAAAACAAAGCAGTGCAAAGGAGTGCAAAGGAGTGCATCAAATCACGATTCCGTGTGCTTGAGATAGTTGGAGATCGTTCCCGGCGCCAGAATAGCAGTTTTCATTTTTCCCCATTGACTGATAATGGTGAGATCACGAAAATGACCTGACCTCATATGACCTTTAGGAAAAATCCGAGATATACAAGTTGTGAGACTCATAATGGATACTATGTCCTGCAAGTTTCATTTCCCTGTGAGGCTGTGACATCTCCTCTGGCAGTGAGGGCGTTGCGAAGTTGCGACATCTGAAAACCGTGCAGAGGTTCACTTAGGACGTCATAGGTCAGTGACCTGACCTGACCCAAAAATGCGGTTGGTGTCAAAAGATCCGGCTTGAATCAAAGGTCAGGTATGCCAAGTTTCAGCTCTCTATCGCCAGCGTGTTCGGAGCTATCGCGAAAAACCCTATGGGGGGGGGGCGGCACCCGCCCCCCTCCCCTCGGCCGGCGAGGGTTAAACGTATTTTTTTATACTATTATGCGTTACAAAAAAAAATGCAACGCACCTGAACTTGCACTTCTAACAGTCCTAGTCCTACATATATTTGAATACGGGCGCACCTTCAGATAGATCATATACTCGTATACGAATTACGAACATTTCTGAAGAGGCGATTAGGCAGCAATCATCAGCATTTCAAAGAACATCTTATTCTTGACAAACACTTTAACATCAAGTATCCACTTTTATCAGATTGCAGCATGTCTAACTCTTGTAAGTCAAGCATTGCCTAATACGTTTGTATCTACTTCTTCACTGAAACGTCAACAGATTGAACGGACTGTCCCTCTCGGCGGAAGACCAATGTTTCGTCATGTGACGCTATCAAAAGGAGGCGTGGTCCAGATAACAGATTGCGACGGTCAATAGAGGGCAGGGGTGGTGAGCAAGCGACCCTCCCCTCCAGTGATTCAGCTCCCATGGGGGCACTAACTCTACCACGGCAACTGCTTTAAACAGTCCGTATACAACCGTCAATCAAATAAGTTCAATTAGCAATCGACTCAACAACGCGAAATTCAGGGATCTCGTTGCAGGTTTGACATTGAAGCTATAGTGCACAGTTACAAGTACGTTGTGGTTTTCATCATCCCGTGTCACTGACCGTTAGCAATATATGTGACGAAACTTCCTCCCTGAATTCGGGGAAGACCTGAGTGCCAAGGGTCGGACTAGCGGCTGGCCTCAGTTGAATAATTTTACAGTGCGCTAAGGGCTGGGCTGCAGCTGCTGCAGCAGCCAGCAAGGGATCTGGGATCATGA